CCGGGGCCAGAGCCCAGGCTGGTCAGCCGGATCTGCGCGTGTCCGCAAACGGTCCGTTTTCTCTGTGGTCCGGGAGGGAGGAAGGGAAGTGTCTCCAAATGGAGTTTGGGTTTTCCTCCCTTGGTGTCTTTGTATATCCGGTGTTGGCTCTGAGGGGAGTGCCCTTACGATTTCTGTCTCTGTCCTTCAGATTCCCTGTCTATGCAGCGGTGCCTCGTGTTTACTGTGCCAATGTTGTCCCAACAGCAAGAACTCAACAGTGACACGTCTTATCTATGCCTTCCTCCTCCTCCTCAGTACTGTTCTTTCCTGCATTATGCTGGCACCAGGGATGGAGGAACAACTGAAAAAGGTATGGAGGGGAAAACCTCTTTCTAACTGTTTGCAGAACCATTCCTTGCGCCAGTGACTATTGATTCTCCCTATCTGGACTGGATTACATGAGACACAAATAGCCAAATATGCTTTGTTCCCCGAGTTAAGAGACTGCATGTATATAAGAGACTGAATGGCTTCTGGTTGAAATAGCAAATTCAGTGAGTGTACATTCTGAAATCTGACCAGACCTGGAGATGGCTGGTCACTATGAGAGGCCTGTTACTTTGGTATCTTGCTTTTCCTTTTAGTGATGACACAGGAAAAGAAAGACGATAATAAGGTCTGTGCAGCCGGGTTGAACACAAGGTCTTTTGTTATCAGATCTCTCAGAAGAGAGCTGACTAAGAGCCTTAGCTGTTAGAGTGCTTAAAGAATGTAATTGTGAATGCGGACACTAATTCACAACGGAATGTGTCTTTACTCAGATACCTGGATTTTGTGATGATGGGCTTCATACTCGGATACCGCATATGAATGGCTTTGTCAGCTGCGATGTGTTTGTCGGATACCGAGCTGTCTATCGAATCAGCTTTGCCATGGCAGTGTTCTTCTTCCTCCTCTCTCTGCTCATGATAGAAGTGAAAACAAGTAATGATCCACGAGCCTCAATACACAATGGGTATGTGTGTGAGCCAGCTGGCTCGTCTTCCAACTTGTTTCCTTTCAAGTTTCTCTGCTGAACACAGTGGCAGATAGTTTATGCGTACAGCGACAGCCTCAAGTTTCTTTTGAGCTGAATGCAGAGTAATGCTTGAGTCTTCTAAAAAGCTTTCTATTCATGTAACGTGTTCAGTGTAGTGATAATGCTCTGAGGGTGGGTAACCAACAGGTCAGTGCTCTGGGCACCCCCTGTATTTCCACAGAGATGATGGATTTAAGTTATTTTTTATCCCCTTCCTTGTGCTGACTGTAGCGCTCAGTGTGTCTTTCACTAGCCTGGTCTGACTTGGTCATCCAGCAGAAACTGGTTTCTGATTCCTGATTTCACTGACTCGTTAGTTCTGAGCTAGATGACTGGGTTATCATAGTCCTTTAATTTGCAAGGGACCTTTGGAGATTATCAGTACCAACCCCCTGGTCAGAGCAGGACCACCGTGGAGCAGGTTGTTTGGGGTCTTGTCTTGTTGAGTTTTGAATGTCCCCAAGGATGGGGATGCTTTGACCTCTCTGGGCAACCTGTACAACTTTTGGCAATATCTAATTGTAGTTTCTCTTTCTGCACCTTGCATGTGTTGCCTCTTGTGCTTTCCCTGTGCGCCTGCAAGAAGGGTCTGGTTTTGTCATCTTTGCACTGTGCAGCTTGGAGAAGGGAAAAGGGAGATGTAATTGCTGTCTTCAGCTGCCTGAAAGAAAGGTGCAGAGTTAGCCTTCCTCCCTGCAAGGACGAGCTCCTGACTGGCGTTCTGTTTGCTGGAGCAGGAGCTCCTCTAGCAAAGCTTTCTAGCCAGTCAGTCCCCAGTCTGTCCTGTTGCACAGGGATTTTCTGTCCCAGGTGCAACACTGTGTTGAACTTTGAGCTTTCTGTCAGCCCATGTCTCCAGTGTATTGACCGTTGCTTCACCCTCCTCCCTGATTTGCTGAACATCTTTATCTGTAATCTCACTGAATACAACTTCCTTTAAATCTGTTAGACCCACCTGTGTACAGCAAGCTGCTTGCAGATCATGACTCTTGTGTGCAGAGTTAAGACCACTATTTTCAACTTATATCTTCTTTTAAAGGTTCTGGTTCTTCAAAATTGCTGCCATCGTGGCTATCATGGTTGGAGCCTTTTACATTCCTGAAGGGCCTTTCACAAGAGGTACGGTTCATACGTTGTCATGGAATTCTGTTTAATAAACCTCTACACAGACTTACCAGGCTGTAGTAGCGACAGTGAGTTACCCTGTACAAGACACGTTCTGTCCTACTTCCTTAGAATATCTTGGCTCACCCTGTATTTTGGAGACCAACCGAAGTGATGGCAATAAGCAGACTCTTTACGAGTGTATAGGTGCTGGGTATTACTAATTTGGTACTCCGTGACACGATTGCTGCCGGGCTGAGTCTTCTGACACTATTTAGATCAGAGGCAGCTCAGAACACTGACAAGTGCTAAATACTTCCCTACAGTTCCTGAAAAGTCCGTGCAGGAAACCTCTGCTGTCTGGCCATATCACAGGAGCTTGATAGGGTGGTTGATCTCCAAAGGAACGTGGCATGATGGTGCTTATGTGCGTGGAGATGTCTGGTGCTACGTCTTGTGTTTGTCCTGAAAACACGTTGGGCTAAACGCTGCCATGCTCAGCGTGGCTTGCATAGGCTGCACCCCTGAAATAGCTGGGAATCCTTGCACACTGCTGCAGGATGGAGGCCAAAGCGGTTAATAGTATCTGCATTTCTAAATATAGCTTCAGAATTTTTTTTCATTATTTGTCTGCAGTAAAATTAGGATCTTTTTTATTTATTTTAAATTGGGGTAACATGCAGATGATGAAAGCTAAGCCTGTTTTTCTTGCTCTCTTTTCTAGCTTGGTTTGCTATTGGTGTTTTTGGAGCCTTCTGCTTCATTCTTATCCAGTTGGTGCTGCTTGTGGACTTTGCTCACTCCTGGAATGAGAGCTGGGTTGAGAGAATGGAAGAGGGAAATTCTAAATGTTGGTATGCAGGTAGGAATCTTAACCTGTAAGGGGTTGGTTTCTGCTGACCAGTACTCCGCAGCGCATCACTTACTAGTTAGCAAATATACCTAGAATTACACTCCAGAGTCTCCTGGAGTCACTGCTGTAAACATTTGGAATTTATAGCTGCAGTGCTGCCTTCTTCTCATCAAACAAAACGCAAAACATTCCCAGGCTTGTGATTAGCAGATCTGACACTCATAATAAACATCACTTGGCTCGTCTGCAGTGCAAGTGCAGAGCTGGTGGCCTGAATCTCTTCAGCTCTAACGTTGTTTTGCCACCTCTTCTGCTGAGGTCCTCAGGAAGTCCGTTACATCCATGACAGTGGCTGCAGTACAACAAAAAGTATGCCTCTGCCCGACCTGACCACTACACTAAGTGCTAATTGTTGTGGTTCTTTGCTCATAGCTATGAATGCTGCAACAGCATTTTGTAGCTGCTTATAAACGTGGCAGAATGGAAATGGAAACGGCTGGCCTCTAGCATAGGAGGACGAATTCAGGGCTCGTAAATAGCCCATTAGAAGTGGGCAAAAAGCGCTCTCATTTTGACACTGTGGCTTGACATCCATTAAACCAATTAATCTGTCACTGAGGGGCAGGTCTTATGCCCCTGATGGCAGCATTAGCTTTCCTTTGAGCTACGCTGCTTCACGAGCCAAAGCAGAAATTTAGCCATACCTAATAAAAAAACATTCTGCTAGTCCAGTTTCTGAACCAGACTTCCAAGTGAGGGGGAGGGACTGTCTCTTTACAGAGGTAGATGGTCATTAAATCACCTCAGATGTACTGTTAAACCACATGCATATTGTAATGTTAATATATTTTTCCCCTCCAGCTCTGCTGTCCTGTACAAGCTTGTTCTATGCCTTGTCGCTGGTTTTTGTTGTGCTCTTCGGTGTTTTCTACACAAAGCCTGATGACTGCACTGAAAACAAGTTCTTCATAAGCATTAGCGTAATCCTGTGCTTTGCTGTCTCCGTCGTTTCTGTCCTTCGAAAAGTTCAGGTATTAATTTCTTTGCTATTCTCTTCTGTCATACAAAACAGGGAAGTAAGAAGGATGTAGTATCAATTCAGTCAGACACAAGAACTTTAAATTTTGGCTGTCATAGCTATGCTAGCTAGGAACATTTCTCTGAAGCCAATACGCTGTATAGTGACATATTTCCTCAAGATAAGCTTGTTTTGGCTAACATTGTTTTGGACTTTGTTTCCATATGGGGCACCACTGGTGTGTTTTTAGTGGTGAAGGCTCTGGCAGAACAGAGAAACCCTTTAGGGAAAAGCAAAATAAGCTGAGAATTTATTGGCTTAATAGTGTGGCTTTGAAATTATGGGTAATCATGTTTAATATGAGAGGAAGCTTGCATGTTACTTAATTCTGAACTGGTATTCCTCATAAATCGCCTGCTACATTCAAATCCACAAAACTGTTAAGCAAGTTGGGATTAACTCAGTAAAAAGCCATAACTGAGTCTTGGGTACAGAAAAACTGGATTTGGTTTGCTTGTTCCTTCCATGTTTGAGTTGCTCACTGCATAAATTGTATTACTCTGAGAGTCTCTTCCCATCTTTTAAACACAGAACAAAGCCCAGTGCATTTCTAAAAACACTCCTCAGGCTACTTGTTGAATCTGTGGCAGTAGGGTAAAACTACCCAAGTATAGGTGAAACTTGCCCTTTTGACCTTGGCTTGCTCTTCTGTCTTTAAACAGGAACATCAGCCTCACTCTGGCCTCCTCCAGTCCTCTGTTATCACGCTCTACACCATGTATCTCACTTGGTCAGCCATGTCCAATGAGCCTGGTAAGCAACAGGCTGTCTTGGGTAACGTATTTTGCTGTGAAAGCAGAAGCTGCTGATGGGCCTCAGTTCTTACAGGTCAGTGTGGGGATTGCTGGTCTGCGTAAATGAAATCTAGTGAGGCAGTAAAGCTGCCTGTAACAAAACCATCGATTTGCCTCTTTCTAGAACTAAATGTTATTTGTGAGGGGAAAGAAAGCAGTGCCAGGGCACTCTGAATTTATTTATTTATTACACCCTTGCCTCGCTTACAGGAAAGAAAAAAATATATTCCGTGCCATTACTGCCTGTGGGGAATTGAAGAGATCAGCAGTTCAAGGGAATGAAAAACTGCAAGCTTATCTGTCATCTTTTCTTAGCGAAATGCTGTCAAAGCTCATCTCTCTTTTAATCTCTGAAATCCCTTTCAGAACGAAACTGTAATCCAAGTTTGCTGAACATCATTACCCAGGTAGCTGCGCCCACAGTCAGTCCGGCAAATACCACTGTCCTGCCTGCTACTCCAGTGCCGCCCAAGTCCCTGCAGTGGTGGGATGCCCAGAGTGTTGTTGGATTGGTCATCTTTGTCCTGTGCCTCTTGTATTCCAGGTAGGATCTGCACTGCTGTCGCGTGAGAGACAGTTGGGATTTGTCGGCCTTTTGTTTGAATCTGGCTCTAGTGTAAAACGTACCTGCATTTAAGCACAAGTACAGGCTCGG